GTCAGGAAACCTTCAAATCCTAGTTCATGTACTTACTAGGTAGACCTTGGGATAGGTCATTAAACATCACTTAGTCTAAGTATCCTTATTCTCAGAAAGAGGGTAGTGTCTACAACAAAGGGTGTTGCAGCAAGTTTTAAAATGATATAGTCTATGTGTTCTAAATTACAGGATGTACAATATAAAGGTTCTAGGATTAAAGAATGCCGCATAAACACAAGGTTCTATTCTGGATTGCAAAGGCCGGCAGTGGGTCTGAGCAGTGACAGGCCACCATTCGGGTCCTGGGACTGTCAACTGTGTCCCATGAGATGAAACATCGCTTATCTGGGCACAGCTTTCTCCACCTCTAGAGCAAGATGATGGGACAGTCGGTACATCTCTTTCAAGCTCCTGACATTCAAGGGTAGGGTCCATTGGAATCTATGCTCAATTCTGACTCTCTTTTACTTTCTCGGGGAAGTAGAGAGGGACACTGGCTCCAGAACCCACAAGAACACCTGGCTTGCCTTTACCAAGGGTAAGAAACTCCCAGCCCATTCCTAATTGCTCTGGTCCATGAGTTTATGCAACGTTCAAGAGGTCATGGCCAGATGTTGTCTCTGGAGGGTCAGTGACAGCAATTTTCCTCCCCAGCCTTGAGCTGCAAGGCAGGAAGATGGTAGAGCGTTTTCTTGTACTCAGGCCTTGGGGCCCTGGGCTGGGGGAGACTATCTCATCCCGAACGTGACCCTTCGTACTGCCTCCCACAATTAATTCATTGCAGACCTATTAATTAAACAACTGTTTAACCATCAATAACCTGTTAAAATTTTCGGCCTTAAAAAGAAAGAAATCCTGTCACATGCTATAATATGGATTAACCTTGAGGATATTATTCTAAGTGAAATAAGCCAGTCACAACAGCACAAATACTGTCTGACTCCACTTATATAAGGTACCTGGAGTACTCAGAATGGTGGCCACCAGGGGCCAAGGGGAGGGGTGGGGAGTTAGTGTTTAATGGGAACAGTCTCAGTTTTGCGAGATGAAAAAGTTCTGGAGATGGGTTGCCCAACATAAATATACTTAACACTATCGAACTGTACATGTAAAAGTGGTAAATCTTATGTTATCTGTATTTTTACCACAATTAATTTTTAAAATTTAACTAATGATATATTACTTTAATCATTAAGCAATGAAATAAACAAATAAGCAGTCATAACTATGGGTCATCACCATTTCCTTCTCCTCCCCAAGCACCCTTCTCCCTTTGAACCCAGATGGGCCTTGGGTTTTTGGAATCCTGAACATATAAGCATTCATATTTGTGTTTCCTCTTTTGAAACAATGTGGTCTCTAACATATCAAATTAATGTCCTTGGTCTAGGCTCCCAGCCAAATCTCTACCACACATCCCACTGGCTAGACATTCATTTTATTGAATAGGCTAGCCTATTGTCAAACAAGTATCTCTGGGGACAACTTGTGTATCAGTCATTCACATATAAGGGATGGACGCCTTCAATCACTGGGATTTCTTTCTAGCTAAGATTAACGTGAGGAAGGGATTCTGAATGGGAGAAAGGAGGGCAAAGGGGGAGGAGGGGGTTCTTCCTTCAGAACCCACTGCTTTTTGGAGGAAGAAAGATCTAGAAGGAGCCTCACCATCAGGATGGGATGGGAGTGGCACTGAACAGTAATTGGGCAGCAGTCCCCGGGCACCCAAGACTGGAAGGGAATCAATATGAGGAGAGGGATGGGGACACAGGATGCAAGGGAAGCTCAGAAAGCATTTTACCGACTTGGAGGCTTTGCCAAGTTCAGCAGCACTCCTGTACACTTCACTCACTGGCACCCACTCACTGGCACGCTCCCCTGCCCCTCTAAGGAGAAGGGCCTGGAAGCCCCTTTGGGAGGGATGCCCATGGCCCAGTATCCCTAGCTGAATAGCTGGTTCTGGCTAAACTGTGTCTGAGGTGGAATGGAGGGAATTCATAGGAGGAAGGGAGGGAGCTGGGGTCCCCTGGGCACTGGCAAGGGGGAATTGGGCCAGCAATGCTGCCCTCTAGCCATCTGTTCTGGAGAGGCTGAGTCCTTGCAAGTAGTAGTCAATTTAACTTCACTGCAGCCCAAGATGGACTTTCCCAAGGCCGCAAAGGGAAATGAGAGCAATGAGATAGCTTTCCTCATTCTCATTGCCTGCTGTGGGAACCGAACATCCCAGCCCAAGCCACACCCACTGCTTCCAGACCTGCTCACCCCTGTGAATGCAAATGCTGGTGTTCAACCTTGCCTCATCCCCCACAAGCCACGTGGCATGTGGGCTAAGCAAGCCTGTTCTCTTCCTTCCCAAGGCTTTGCTAGAGGAACAGCAGGACCCTCAGAGCCACAGATAGACAAAGCCACATCTGACCATACATTACCAGCACCTATAAACACAGATTTCTGGGAAGAGGGAGGGCACGAGGCCCAAGGATCCATTCAGTCTGGTTCTCCTCCACCCCTCTCTGTTCCTGGGCTTCAGAGAGAAATACACTGAGATGCTGGCAGTCACCCTGCTCATTCACTGAAAACTAAGTAATGGCCACTCAATTCAGTCAAAATGGTGGCCCAACTGTGCTTCTGGAAATCACCGTTGTTATACACATATATACACGCACACTCTCCAAGTGCTTTTTCTCTCTTGTATAGCTATGAAATATTCAAACACTCAAAGTACTGATTCTGGGAAATGCTCTTAGTCGTGAATGAAAAAAAAAATCCCATATGAATAGCCTTTTTGGGATAAGGGAAGATTGAAAAAGAAAATTCAGGGCAATCTGCGGAAATACTAAGGCAAATGTGGGTTTGCAGAGGCTGAAACTGTCTGGGGTTTTGGTTGGGTATGTCTTCTTCAAATCACCCATTCCATGCGCCCAAGGTTTACATTTTAGAATTTCTATTAAATCTGGGAAGTGTTCAAACAAGTAGCTCTGATGATCAAACATCTAAGCTTCTAAATGGACAGGGAAAGAGATGTGTTATTCAACCCAGTGAAACTTTGCCTTTCAAACTTGAATTTTAATTAACTGCCATCATATATATGCCATATAAGGGTGGCCACTCTCAACCTCAGCTCCCCAATCTGCCGTTTTTTAAGATGATCTCTTCCTTATCTCAAGGTGTTTTTCTGCTCCCTTAAGGACATTAGAATTACCAGCACAACTTGCTGAAGATGAGGATGCTGTACAGTCATGGTTTCGCCCTCCAATGTCTCACACAGGGAAGTATCACACTCAGCTTCGGTGTAAGTTACATTATTAGCAACTTTTCCTTCAATTGTCTGATCACTTGGAACAGAGTGAGTTTTTGGATTAAGTTCTTCAGGTTGTGGACCATGACTGCAATGGGGTATGGGGAGGGGACTCAATAATAAGAGTGAATGTAATAACCACATTGTTTTTCTTGTGAAACCTCTATAAGAGTGTATATCAAGGATACCTTAATAAAAAAAAAAAGTTCTTCAGGTTGACTCACAGTGAAATATGGACCAAGTACTCCCTATATGAAAAAATCAGAGGACAAGATTCAGGAGAAGGAATCAACTAATTAGACACCCTCCCCCTTTGACTATGACAGCAAATAGTTCATCTTTCCTAGAACTGGTCCCGTAAAAGTCAAAAGTTGCAAAATTCTATGCCACTTCAGGAAACAGTTAACATGTCGGAGCCATTATCATCACCAACTCTTAATTGTTCTCCAGCGCATTCACTTTAAGCACACAACCTGGATGGCAAACAATACTTGTGGAATCAGGGAGTAAGTACAGGCCACTCCCAACTGCTCTGGAAGCCCTTTAAGAAATCACCTTGAACTCTATATCTAACCTTCCTCCTGACCCCAAGGACAAGGCATAGAATAGGCAGTCAATAACTAATCAATCTGACTGGTTTCTCATCTTCGCCAATGGGCATTGAAGAGACGCAGCAAACAAGTGTTAAAACACTCCTCGGCTGAGAAATGACAGCTGTGGGAAAAAATTGCACAAGTATGAAGGTCACCCTGATAAAGAAAAAAAAACGTGGTGTGAGAGACTACTGCACTTGAAACGCACTGTCCGTAATTGCCAGAGATGACAAACATTTTCTAACATCAAGGTGTACCAAGTCGGTCTTCTTTGTTTCCCCATTAACATAGTACTAGGGGTTCAAGATGTGAGGGATTTTTTTCTCTCCCTTTTTCTTTTCTTTTTACCCTTTGAAAATAGTCCACTTAGTCTCCATCACCAAAGCGTCTCCCAAATGGCGGGGGAAGCGCTCTGGGAAGCCCTTGCTGAGATACTTAGCGGAACTTTGTTCTCCACATGAGGTATTTAGAGTCTCAGTTTCCTCGGTGACTCCACCACCTCCCTCTTCTCGTTCTGCGAAGGGGAGATAGGGTGCTGAGATTCTCCGGGGCGGGCCGGGGAGGCGCTGACCATGGTCCTGACCCCGAGCTCGGGACGCGCGCCCAGAGAGCCCAGAGGAAGTGCTGTGGGAGAGCGCGCAGGAGCGGCCGTCCAAGCCTCCGCCCCTCCCGACCCCCGGGAAGCCCTCGGGCCTTCTCGCGAACCCTCCACTGCACGCTCTGAGCTGCATCAAAAAAGGGTGGGGCAGCCAGCCACAGCTGCAATCGGATGCCGCCCGGGAGGATTTAAGAAGAATGGAACCGCGGCCCATCCCCCCACCCCCCACCCCCAGCCATGCGACCCCCAGCCCATCCTTTACCCCCACCCCCTACCTCCCAGGCCCAGGGAGGCGGACAGCCTTTGTGGGCGCACAGACGCCCACCGCCGAGGCCGAGCTTCTCCGCACCCTGGACGGAGAAGGGGCGGGTAGGGCGGGGTGCGCGTACGGATGCGGGATGCAATATTCAAGCGGGGCAGGATGGTGAGCATGCGGGGATCCTCGGTTCTCCACCAAGCTGGAGGGCGGCGAGGAGGAGGCGATCCCAGCGCCCAGTCCTCGGTTTCAAGCTCCACGCACCCCCATACCAACCTGGTCGTAGATGTTCTGCAGGGCTTCCTTGCCCGAGGCCCGCCGGATCTCCACCTTCCGGCCGGATTCAACAGATGGCTCCCCGCCGGCGCGCCGGCCCTGCCGGGAGTACAGTGGCTGCGGGTCCGGGCCCAAGTGGGCGACGTCCCGCTGCTGAGCCACCACTTGCCCCGAGCCCCGGCCCACCGACAACGAGTCGAAGTCGATGGTCTTGTTCTCCGAGGACCCTTCCACCGGGCAGAACATGCCACAGAATTTCTGCCGGGGTTTGGGGCTGCCTGAGCCCAGGTTTTTAAAAAAGGCAGGGACCTCTTCGTCCTCTGCCGCCTTCCCGGATTGCTTCCTCTCGGCCATCGCGCGGGAGCTAAGGGAGGGTCCTTTCCGTCCTTCCGTCCGTCTGCAGGTCCCTAAAGTCGGCCTTTCTCTGTGCACAAACCCTGGCTGCTGCCCCGGCTGCCTCTCTCCGCCTAATGCAAGGTGTATGGAAAGGAAGGAGGGCTGGCGAACGGGCGACCCACCCCTGTCGGTCCCTCCCCTTGACCCCGCTTTCTCCCCTCCCTGCCCACGATCCCCGCCGCCGCACAAGCTCGGGAGAGCAGCAAAGTTGGGTCTGGGAGGGCGGCCGCTGCGGCAGCGGGAGCACAGAGGCTGCCAGTTCCCGGCAGCGGCAGCGGAGGGAGGAGGGCGGCGCGGGCGGGGCGGGGGCGGGGCGCGGAGGGGAGGGGAGGGAGGGAGGGGAGCAGCGCGCACGCGAGGGAGGGGAGGCCCGAGTCGCCAGGAGCCCCGCGCTCCGGAAGTGAAGCGGACAGACCACCGGCTAATGGATGCGGAGCTGGGAGCGCGCTGACCGCTCTCGGTGCCAGGGTAAGTATGGGGCAAAGCAGGCGAGGCAAGACCGGAGGGCTCAGCCCCTCGCCCCCGCGCCCCTTCCCTCCACCTGCCCGGTCCACGCGCCTCTCCCTTACCGCATTGCAGAGGCGGGCCAGGGGCGAGGGCCTACCGTGGGGAGGGCGTCTCCCCGCTACCCGGAGCGTGAGCCGATGGATGGAAAAGGGGGGACAGACTGACAAGTGTCAGGAAACCCGGGGGGAAGATAAGGGGCGGCACTGAGGGTGGGGAAAGGATGGCGCAAGCCGCTCTGAGAAGTGAGGACCATGCAACGACGCGGGACACCAAAGCTTCAGATTACCCACGGGCTTTGGTGGGCCACTGGGAGCAGAGACTGAAAGAATACATCCACAGCGGTGGAGGGCGCACAGCATGGCAGGGAGAATTGCAGAGGGGCGTGACAAATGGAGAGTAGGGTTACAGAGACACAGGCCTACGGTCCTTGGGAGTATAACAAAGAGCGCATTCCCCAAATTACAGAGGGCAGACTGGCTATACTGCCAGCGGGCGCCAGGTCCCGTAATGCGCGTCGCTGCGCCAGGAAGGGCCCAGGAGAATGCTGTGATTTGGTATACGTTCTGAACCCTCTCAAGACTGTGGGCAGAGACGCAGCTTTAAGCCCACTCCCCCAAACCCCAGCCCTTCCCGGCGCCGGGGGGCGCTGCGCCTGGCTCCCCTGCCTGGTTCCCCCGCCCGGGTTACGCACTGCACCAGAGCCGCGGGGTTTCCCAGGTTGCTAGGCTCCGCGTGCCTGGGGCGTAAGTGTGTGCGCGCGCGCCCAGTGGAGGGCAGGAGATGGAGGGCTGGCTGTGCTTGACTGCCTCGAATTGTGAGGCCAAGCAGGGGAAAGATGCGTGGGGACCTGGTGTGTATGTGCTTGTAGACCAGTGGGCAGGCGTCCAGGGGGCATTTTGATTTGTGCCCAGTATAATACGGTCTCCGAAGTCCCTTCATTATTTATTCCCATCCCCATGTCCTTTCTCTGCGTCAATCCCTGCCTCTCGTCAATTACAGCCCCAACCCTCTTTCCATAGTGGCAAAATCCTGCAGAAATAATGCCAATCCGTTGGCAGCTCGAAAGTGAGGTCTGGGCGTGCTCAGTAACCCGGGTGGGTTTGGGCTCGGAGAGGCTGTTTACCGCAGGAAGTTAGCGCTGAGTAGTGCGACCAACGACTCCGTCCCACGGGGGGTCCTTGCCTCTGGAAGGATTATATGCGATACCCTCGCAGCCTACTCCTGAGGGCTAGCTGGTGAACGGAGTTCCGTTTAAAGGACAACCAGTCTCAGCGTGAAGATGAGCCCACCACGCGGGTGGGGAGGAGTCCCGGGATGAGCAGCGGAGGAGGAAGAGGAATACCCCTGTGGGGGGTGCTGGGAGGCCAGAGGCAGGCATCCGGACTTGGCACCAGAAGTGCTTCGTGTTTGAATAAAGTGCTTCCACACGAATGGCATTTCCCACCGTCAGGTGTGTCCTCCCTCAAGTCAGCAAATGCTCTCGGAGGACCTAGACGTGGGTGGCACCGTTTGGGGAAGTCGCACTCCCAAACTTGGGAAAGTGGGCCCTGCTCCCCGGAGCGTGTGGCCTTGTTGAGGACATGGCCTGGATGCATGAAAAGGTAAATAACTTCGCATCAGTAAGTTCATGGACGCCAACAGGAGTGTGTCGTTGCCAAATAGGTGTGTCTCCACCTGGAGGGTTTCTTGCTTTCCTTACTTGGGAAGCTCTCCAGGCCCTGAAAATACAGATGACTCAGCCAAAGACCTGCTCTGAAGAGGCCCACCGTGTGAGACGTCCTCAGGAAAGGGTAGGTGTCTCAGGAAGGCATGCTGGAGAGCGTGGGTATGCAGGCCGGCTTTGGGTTTTAGTGAGCTGGCCAGGCTGGTTACAGAAAGTTTTAGTGGCCCTGAAGGGTTAAAAGGAGAGGAAGGGAATTCACATTTACTGAGGGCCTACTATGTGCCAGGTGTTTAATTCACATCTCATTTAATGTGTACAGCAACCCCCAAACAGCATAATTTTTCTCTTTTTTTGAAAGAAGGAAACTGAAGTTAAGATGCCTTAAGGGGGTCTCCTCAATATCAAAATGCTAACAGGTGGCATAGCTGACACAGAAGTCTGGAACTAACTCTGACTCTTGCTAAAACGTTCTTTACCATGATGGTGATTTTCAAATCGTGATCTGCAGTTCTACAGAGATTTTTCAGCAGTTCCATCTTTAAAATGCATTTCAAACTCTTTAAATCTCTAATAAATAAGAAGCAGATACAAGTGTGTTGCTATCCAAACTGTAACACACTGGCATTCACCAGCAGTCTCCCTTTTGTTTCCAGAATGACTTATTTTGTGCAGACCATGGACAAAGCACTTACCCCTTGCATTTCCAAGCACATATCCAAACTTTTCTTAATTGTTCATAGATTAAGGAAGCTATAGCATGGAAGCTCATGGCTGTTTAAACCCAGCGCACGGGTGTCCTCTGATGTAACATGTACTTTAGTAGAGCACCAAAGAACCATTCCGTTAAATGCTAGGTGATGTCTAGCATCGTAGTAGCTTTGTATGTACAATAAACATGCTGTTTAAGTTCTTCAAACATGGGCTCGCCCCTCAGAGCACCGGGAAGATAACAGGGCAGGGTTGTTAAGATCAAATGACGTAACTCCTTTTGCATGATGTTTGGACAATGAAAGCCCTCCATGGAGATGCATATGAAAATTTTCATGATGCTCATTGTCTTTCCGTGCATCTGCTATTGTTCTAGCAGTTGTGCAATGACAGGTCACTCTAACCTGTCAGTCATGTTGGAACAACATTGCATTAGAAACCATTTTAGCTCTTACGGTAAGGGTGCATGCCTGTTGTCTCTTCCCTCTGTGATAGGTATATTCCAGCACTTGGAGACTATTGTGGGTAGTTTCACTTTGAAACAATAAATTGATCTTTTAACCGAAGGATACCCTGGGATTATTAAGAAAAGCATTTCTTTTTTGAAGCGTATCACTGGTGATCATTTGTCTTTCTAAGTTATATTTTTCAATACTGTTCAAAGTGATAAAATTGTCATCCAATACAACCTGAATCTTTATGGTTTAGTGTTCATGCAAATAACCTCACTGTTCTCATATTCTGACAGTATACAGAGGACACTCTGTATAAAGTTATAAAGTTATAAAGTTATAAAACAAATACATGCTAATAAAATTTTTAGGTTTTTTTTCTATTTCATGGATTATGGTTCTGTATAAACTGTTGCTTGAAGCTGCATTACTAAAAAAAAAAAAAAAACTTGAGAGGTAAGGTTAGAAAATCAAGCTGAATCCAAAGGTCTTGAACTCCTCTAGGCATGAAAACCTGAGAACTAAAGGCTATAATGAAAGCCCTTGGGCTTTGTCTCCAGGGGTGGGAGACAGCTCAGCCTACCCGTCCTCAATTTTCCTTTTAAAATACACAGAAATGGCAGATGGAGGCCTGTTCCCGCGATGACCTCCAGTGTCATCTGAGTATGGTTGGAAGGCCCAGGAGCAGGGCAGCCATCTCTCCCATCCCCTCGCTTTCAGGATTGGCCAGGAATTTCCTGACTTTGCCCAGAGAAGATGTAGACGATCAGAAAGCTCTCTGAGATGGCAGTCGGCAACCTGCAGACTCTCAGAAGCCAACCTTCTCACTGTAGCAGGCCCTGGAGCTGTCCTGGTCCAGACCTGCGTTACACAACTCTGCTGTGCCTGGTGGTCCTCAACGTCCCAAATGGACATTTTCTTAAAGCTAGCACACCACCAGCCAGACTGCACGCCAAAACCAATCTATCATAAGAAACAAAGGTGTAGGATTTCAGTCTCCCGGATGTCAGCTGGAGGGGCTGCTTTAAGCAACAGCTGAGACTCTCCAATCTGCCCCACCCCCATGCTTGAAGGGAAAAGTTCCCAAAGGGAGGGGGTGCCCAGACCGTGTGGTGGTGCTGAGGCCAGGAGCCACTGCAGGGAGTCCCCAGGGGGGCAGGGGAGGCTCACCTCATCCCATCCTGTCCCAGGCCTGCCCGACCCTGCACAGCCTACTGGCAGTCCCACTGAAGACTTTTCCTGGCTTCTTGGCACAACAGCCTTCCCAGCAAACTCGGTTACTAAAAAAAAGCATTCTTGAAATAACAAACGATTGTCACAAAAGTGCACTTTAGTTTTCTCCAGCTTTCTTGAGGTATAATTGACAAATAAAAACTATTATTTTAAGGAGTACAGCATGAAGTTTTCTGTGCCTAGACATAGGGAAATGATCTCCACAACCAAGCTAACTTTCCATCACCACACATAGTTGCCACTGTGTGTGTGGTAAGACCATTTCAATCTATTCTGTCAGCAAATCTCAAGTACACAATACATAAACAGTCATCACCGTGTTGCCCATCACCTCTCCCCAACATATCATCCTGCATAAGCGAAAGTTTGTGCGCTGTGACCGAAATGTTCCCCTTTCTCCTTCCTCCCCGCCCCTGGCAGCCACCATTCTACTCTCTGCTTTTATGTGTTTGACTTTTTTAGATTCTACATGTAAGTGAGGTCATGCACTATTTGTCTCTTTGTGTCTGACTTCTTTCAGTCCTCCATAATGTCTGCTTAT